TTTTGACATAAAAGGATTTTGCTTTCATTTTTTGCTCTTTGGCACTTAGTCAGCAAAGTAATTTTGACTTTCTTTGTTTATTGTGAAGAAATTAACTCAAAAAGGAGGCCGCAGGAGACCCCCTCCAACATTTCGCTTTCAGATTAAAATAACTGAATAAAAGATTGTGAGAGACACGAAAACAAAAAGTTGAATGTTTGTCGGCAAACGTCAAATATTTAAGTGGTTAATGGCTGTATTGCCAAAATGAGCGAGCTTGACTGAAACACTATGCAAAAATACCTTCTTTCACACCTACAGACAATTCTTCACAGGTTTCTATCATTGTACGCTCAACGGTTGTCTCGCTTCGATGCAAAGGCACCGCTACCTTTCAAGATGGCGCAGGTAACCGTGAAGGAGACTTTTCGCTACTCCCACATTGAAGAGCACACGCACATGTATGTCGCGGGTATTTTTGCATAGTGTTTCAGTCAAGCTCGCTCATTTTGGCAATACAACCATTAACCAGTAAAATATTTGAAGTTTGCCGACAAACATTCAACTTTTTGTTTTCTTGTCTCTCACAATTTTTTATTCAGTCATTTTAATCTGAAAGCGAAATGTTGGAGGGGTGTCACCTGCGGCCTCGTTTTTGAGTTAATTTCTTCACAATAAACAAAGAAAGTCAAAATTACTTTGTTGACTAAGTGCCAAAGAGCAAAAAATGAAAGCAAAATCCTTTTACTATATGTCAAAAGCAAATAAAATGCTTTCTGTCATAGAGCTCGAAAGAAAATAATCGCCAATTACGACAAAGTCATGTTGTCATACGCTGTAGTTCTAAATAACTTTAACTTTTAATTCTTTCTCATTTTTCACTTTGACTTTCGTTTTGTCCACTCTCGAACAACCTATAGAAATATTACAAAGGTTTTGAAACAAATTATATTTTATCGGTGAATGAGAGCAAACACAAACAGTGCAGTAATTATACTCATACAATCAGATCACCCACCAGAAATAGAAGTTAGGGACAAATGGTCATTACTTGAAATGTTTTGTTAGTATTCAGTCAAAAAAAAACAAACTTGCAGACTTTTTGGATGTTTGTATATTAGTTTTTACGCAGCCGAAAAAAAACTTGCAGACTTTTTGGATGTTTGTATATTAGTTTTTACGCAGCCGACTCTAGTTAAACAGCTTGTTTAGCTATCTTGTCTGTTTTTTTATTTTAGTTGGAAGCAAGCTTCATCAGAAAATCAATCACACTACAGTGAAAGCATCAAAGCCATAAGAGGACTCTTTGAACCCTTCAAATAAGTTACTATAATAAGAGCAAGAAGACAGGAAGGTTACCACTTTCACACTTGTTGTCCGGCTTCATCTGTCTGTCTGTCAGAATCGTGGTATTAGTTTGTAGTGTTTGTATCCTCATGAACTTGACAAATGTGTTTTTAAGCTGGAATCAATTGGTCTTTTTCAATTAGTCACGTCCAGCAGTTTTACTTGGTGATTAAAATGTATTCCCTTTTTTTTTTTTCAATTTTTTTTAATTATTCCCATTTTCATTGGTTTTCAGGTGATACACTCACTGTTAATGGTACATGAGTAAGACCGTCTTTTGCATATATCCACTTATATGTATTTTTTCATCCATTCAGTTTCAATCAGTTTTTAGTAATCACGCTGAAGCAACTTTTAATTGATAAAGACATATTGACATACCATGTGTGAACATTGTAAGGTTGTTATGGTTACATTGCCTCGTAATTGGTAAATTGCATTTTGTTGTTAACGGGCGACTTTACGAGGTTGAAGTGGACGTTAAACAAATGCAAATCGATTCAAACTGATGATTTCGATTGATGACGCACTCTCCAGCTGATCTAGCCCGCCAGTTGTATTTGTGCAAAATTAATTTTCTGGAGAACCTTTTCTTTAGTGACTTCAAGATTTTTATTTCTCGCTGTAATGACATGGTCTGGAAATTGGTCGAATTTCACCTTCGAATGCAGTGGATATGTTGGGGATTACTACTCGACCTTTCCAAACATTGATCAGTTTTACGAACTCTATCTCTTTAACACTATTGTTAACGCTGTATCCGCATTAACGGCTGTTTGTGGCAATGTAGTTGTGTTAACAGGGATTCTTATAACACCAAGCTTGCGGAGAACACCTTCCTACTGGCTGATTAGCAGTCAAGTCTGTACAGATCTTGCATTAGGGCTCGCTCAACCTTTGATATCATTTTTCATGGCGGCRGAGATCACTGGGAAGGACATTCTCACCGTGTGCACGTTAGGACAAGYTATTTTATTCATTTGTTTCTTCCTTCTGTCTGCTACAGGACTTGGTCTTASTGCCCTTAGTATTGACAGGCTTTTAGCCATTCGTTTGAAAACGATGTATAAAGTTACTGTTACTAAGAAACGCGTTGCGATAACTATTGCTGGGCTGTGGKTATTTTCACTGGCTTTAGCAATCATTGCATTTTATGTGGACAACCACAGATATGTTACCATAATGTTCTTGTGTTTCGCCTCAAGCTGTTCTACTATCACAACGATCTGCTACGCAAGTGCGATCAAAGCTCTCAAAATCCACATGAAAGATATAAATCCCTCGCGAGGAACTTCACAAACCAATTCAGCTACGCTTGATGTTAATAAGTATAAGAAAACGTTATGGACTATGATCATCATTGAGATTGTACTAATGTTTTTTGCAATTCCAATATGTGCTTCCTGGATGTACATGTTTATCCATGGTCTAACGGTGTATAGCATGACTATATTGTTCACGGCGACGACTTTTTTCAATCTCGTTTCTAGTATCAATCCATTGATATACATCTGTAGGATGAACGATATCCGAAATGCTTCGAGAGCTGTACTTAGAAAAGTGTGCTGCTTTTTGCACTCGAGCAATCCCTCGTAGTGGAACTGCTGAAATTATTATATATAGCAAATGTTGAAAGGTTGTTTGCCTGGAATAGACATTTCCTGTGATAAAATTAGCTGTACGCGAAATTTGTATTTTAGGACAACCTTTTAAATTGATCGTTTTCAACCATCCCATGAGATTCAAAAGATATAAGACAGGCGGCCATGTTGGAGGAATGAACAATGCATKAGAAATCCTTTGTTGAAGTTCCTCCATGATGGCGGCTGCGATAATAGCAGCGGCCATGTTGGCGGAATGAACAATAGATACTAATGAGAAATCATTGGTTGAATTTCCTCCAAGATGGCCGCTTTGACTTATACTGTGAAAACGAAGAACATCGACYGTGAATATGAAATCTGCTTCAAGATGGCACTCGACAGCTGTTCTAATTGTTTAATGACAGTACTTGGTCATGATTTGTCATTCTGAATATCGACACAAACGACGACGTTATAATGAACAGAATCAACATATTAATGAGCAGAAAATGCGGAGGAAAACAATTTATAGGTTGACAGTTTTGGTTATTTCATTATATGATTTATTCCCAAGCAAAAGATTGGCAGCTTTGCTTCATGGTCAAAAAAGTACGGAAAACCGCATGTTTGAACAATAGAAGACAAAGGAWTTATCAGTCACACTATGACTGAAGCAGAGAACGAAAGTAGTATAGGCCTCATAGTTGAGGCCAGATTTGAAYAAWTTCAATGTGGCAAAATTGTTCAAAACTTGTGGCAATTGGTTTAAATGYTCATAAATTATTTGTGGTAATTTATTCGAGTTTAAGTCCCTTTTTTGTTCGGCTAATTTCTCTGGCAAACCAAACTTTTTCTGCTTTTTTCGCAGCGAAATATTTTGTTGCAAGCTGAAAACGTTTGCTGCAGAATGTATAAAGGTACGGTAATACNTGATCCCCAGAACTTGTTCAAGTTTTTTCCCCCAAGTGTTTCTTAGAATGTCCTGGGTGATTTTCTGACTAACGCAAAGGGATCCCACAACCCCACATGCAAAGTCTAAAAACACAGCTTTGTTCAGTTTGTAAATAATTGGCATCAGAATGCCCTTAAAAATTGTTTCAGACTTTGCAAGCCAATCACATACAAGGTGCTTATTTTGATTGAGTAGTTTTGTTAATTCATCTTGTGAAATTATGTTCTCTCTGTGTGCTGGAGGTGTATTGTTTACAAATAGAATACCAACTAGTTCTGGATATTTTAAAGCCAAGTAATTTCTAGTGTTAACAAAATGCGAAGAGATGTAGCTAGTTTGTATACCTTGAGAGGTTTTTGACGATTCAACTATATATTCCCATGGCTGTACAGACTTGACCAGCTTTGGCAGGCAATATGTTTTTAATTCTTGAAGAGTAAGCGATGAAACAAAAGATTTTACCCGTGAAGAACGAGTTTGAGGTGGCAATTTTTCATTAATCACTGTAGATATGATATCATCTGCACTGCTTTCCTTTGGTCTTCCCCTTCCTTTTAAATTGTAGACCTTGTGCGCATGCGAAGGGTTTTCCCRGTAGTGTCGCAACAAATTATTGTAACTTGCATACGAGTGATTACACGTTTCGTAGCCACAATTATGACGAGTGCCTGCTTCAAAATTCATGGTTTACAACTCTGCACAATCTAATTTTTTTTCGCATTTTGCTGTTTTTATGTCTAAACTACTGTCACTACTAAAATTGCAACTGCTTGCGTGTACAAAACCTTTTTGACGCGCGCGTGCATATGAACATTTTTCCCGCCAAAAGTGCGAGATATAGCTAGATATAGTTATATTAAAACAAAACCACTCATATTCAATTAAAAAGTCGATTTATTTCTGTACAAAGTACAAAATATACATCAAGAAATATGTTAACTTTAAAGAAAGCTCATCAAAACAGTTCTAGGCCTTACTTTTGAAGACATTTGAAGATTTACTTTGGTTGACTCGTTGATATCCATTTTCCCATCGATTAAAATGATAGCAAAATCTCAAAAATCACAGAAGAAAAGCGTGATATTGTTTAGTTTACAGACACATCGATTAAYCCTTGTCAAAATATCCCAGGAATGAGTGTCATACTAAGGCTAAACTTTGATTTTAGCTCATTATTTCACAGTCGCCGCTTCGGAAAAAACAAGATGGCGGGCAATTTCTTCCTATGCAAAGCGCGCGCTGATTTCTGGGATGGATTATTAACTTGAAAAATACATCATGCATTGCGGGCGATCCGAGATCACCTAGACGATATTAGGTGACACGGAGTATGCATTCGCATGATTTTTACACTTCTCAATTCACGTGGAATGTTCAAACCCGATTTGGATAGCGTATTGTTCTGTCAGCATATCCAACCAATCTTATTTTCCAAACCTTTTTTTTTAATTTTAGATGCGCGCAAAATCTATTTTACTCGCCGGCTTTTTCAAAACCGCACTTCAAATCAAACTTCGCTCGATTGATGGAGAAGCGTGTTGCTTGGTTCAACATTCACTTCAGTCTTTTATCATCATGGAACAAACTCTGATTTTAATGTGGTAAGCAAGCTTTGAATTATTTCTCGATTAAGATTATTATTTGAGTATTCGCTCATTTCGAATTTTATCAATTTGTTAGTTTGATTACTGGCCAGTTCCAGAACTATTTGAATCTCAACTTTTACAAGAAAATATGGTATTCTCCTTGGCTTTCTTTTATCGTTCACAGATTTTGTTGGTACTTTTCTTACTGTTCTTACTGCCTAATAGACCCCTTGCATGTGACAGCTTCATCTGGAGGAACAGCTTCATCTGGAGGACAAAACAAAAGATTTTTATCCTCTTGGGAACTAGAATCTATTGTTTTGTCCTCCAGTTGGAGCTGCATTCCCATGAACTGCAAGGGGTCTATAGTAATGTTTCTGTTTATTCCCTGATTTCTGTCAGGACCATCGATTTTTTAGCGGCTGCATTGGATGTAAACACCGAACAACTCTTTGAACTCAATAGAACACTATTAAATCTAATTTAATTGGAAATGGTGAGTTTTATTCTAAAAATGATTTATCATTATACAAAAACAGTCAAGTGCCATAAAGGTTTCCGGATTTATGTGGAATTCGGAATCCCGTTGTGGCACGTTTGGACCATGGTGTCCCTTTTGATTACATGCTCTTTGAATATATCCGTCATAGCGGAAGTTCGTTGGCCAGAGTTTGTTCAATGATACCCATCTTGCTTGGTTTTAAAACTGCTTTAAAATCCTTTCTTTATACAATATTTTGTGAATGAATGGCTCTGAGTTCTGCTTCATATTTATATTATGGCTGCTAATAGCGATAGMGGTAAAAATACTGATCATGTGAAGCGCCTTTGAACTGTAAGGATATCGGCGCTATATAAATAATACGTATTATTACTATTAAAATGCTTAGGTTCCCKAGATATTTTTATTTTTAACTTAAGCTTAAAAGTTCGTAGAATCGATAATTTCCAAGATGGCCGCCTACTCGTCAAATGCCCGCCCGTCTGCTCCTTGATCAGAGTCAAATTCTCCACTGTACGGAGGTAAAGTCGTGTCAAATGCCCGGGGGGGGGGGGGGGGGGGGGGGGGGGGGGGGGATGGGCACCTTTGGAATTGACTCATACATTAGTTCCAGTCTGAGGCGTTAGCAATCACAGAATTAAGCGAAGACRTTTGAATGGCACCCAAGAATATTAGAAGAGGTTCTAATCTTGTAAGAATTATGTGCGTGAAAAGTTGGTGATTATTATTCATGGACAAAGATGCTGGGTTATGTGACCGGAGGTATCACAGCGGATACAGAATATAGACAGAAACTGAAAAGACTCGACTGATTCATTTTCTTAGTGCTGACTATTACAGCACCTCTATAGTGGACGCTGCACGATGACTGGCAGCATTAATGCTAATCATATTATGTATAAGCTCGACGTTGTCCATTGATACCTCAGAAAAGACTCAAGCGCGTCATCAACCAAGCGGATACAACCAAAGCCGGCAATTTGTCATACTTTTTACCTAAGTAGTGCCGCTATCTATATACATAGCAAAAGTGTATCACTAGAGCGGATTTCGTATGAGTGGGGAACGGACGGTACTGTACTGTGACCGTAATCGTACTGTAACCAAATTTTAGTGCCCCATTGGTTCACMAAAATTGTGCWGGCCAGGTCCGGTAACTGTGCGGTAACCGTGCGGTAACGGTGTCCCACTCATATGAAATCCGCTCTATTGATGCTCTCGCGATCGATATTAATCAGCGTCCTTTGTATGCACCTTTCGGTACATGAAAGGCAAAAGAGTACTCGGAAAAGTTCAAACTCATCTCGAGCAAAGATAAAAAACGCTCCAAAAAGAGGCGAGAATTAAAAGTGATATTTATCCAATTGGAAGCCACAGGTATGGGTGGACCCGGGACTTGTGATTAGGGTGTTTAGCCACCCCCGTTGTTTCCATTAACATGGATAATSAGTGCGTTTGCATACTCTTATCTTTATATTCTTTAAACTCGTATAACTGACTTACTTGAAGGAAAAGGCATAGCCTTGTGTACCGTTAATTAAAACTTTAATATCTTTCCACATTAATAGAACGTATTCGCATAACCCACTTTTTAAATTCTAATGAGTTTTGCTAATATTCTAATGAGATTGGCACAAGAAACAAAAGAGCGAAAACATGCTTGAGTGATTTCAAAATATTACATGTTTTTTGCTCTTTTGTTTCTTCTGCCAATCTCATTAGAATATTAGCAAACTCATTAGCATTTAAAAAGTGGGTTACGCGAATACGTTCTATTGAAGTACAACCTTCCGTTAGGTATTTAAAGTCTTCTTTTGATCGGAAGTTTAGATTAAACAAAATGATTATTAAATAAAAAGTGACTTGATTGATGACGCGCTCGACGGTGTCACCTGTAAATGTGTTTCGCCAGTTCCGCTTATTTGAAAGGCAATATAGCTCAACTGTTTGCGTCGTTCTTCAGTTTTTGCTGACAAAAAGGCGTTTAAATTGTAAATTTTTTYTGTGGTATAATGTTATCTTTTGGAAATTCGTCGAATTTCACGTCCGAATGCAGTGGATTCACAGGTGAATATTACTCGACCAACCCACAAGTTGACAAATATTYCGAACTCTTGGTGTTCAACATTGTTGTTAACGCTATAACTGCAGTACCGGCTGTTTGTGGTAATGCAGTCGTCTTAACAGGGATTCTTATAACACCAAGCTTACGGAGAACACCTTCTTACTGGCTGATAGGCAGTCAAGTCTGTACAGATCTTGCATTAGGGCTTACTCAGCCTTTGATATCCGCTCTCTTTGCGGCAGAGATCACCAATGACGTCCATGTTCGCACCAAGTGTACGTTAGCAGAAGCTATTTTATTCATTTGCTTTTTCATTTTGTCTGCTACAGGACTTGGTCTTAGTGCCCTTAGTATTGACAGGCTTTTAGCCATTCGTTTGAAAACGATGTACAAAGTTACTGTTACTAAGAAACGCGTTGCGATAACTATTGCTGGGCWGTGGGTATTTTCATTAACTTTAGCRATCATTGCATATCAAGTGGACAACCCGAAAGTCATTGCCATGATGTTTTTGCTTTTTGCATCCAGTTGTGCTATAATAACAACAATTTGCTACGGTGGTTCGATCAAAGCTCTCAAAATCCACATGAAAGAAGTCAGTCCCTCGCGAGGAACCTCACAAACCAATTCAGCTGCGATTGATGCTAATAAATACAAGAAAACACTTTGGACGATGATCATCATTCAGATTGTACTAGTTTTCTTTGCAATCCCAATGTGTGCGTCATGGATATATATGTACTTCGAGGGCATTAAAGTAGATAGCTTGATTCTATTGTTCACATCGACGACTTTTCTCAATCTCAATTCGAGCATTAACCCTTTTATTTATAGTAGGATGRGCGATATCCGAAGTGCGTCCAAAAATGCACTTAGAAAAGTTTTGCTGTTTTTTACYCGTGGACATGAGTAATAGATCAGTGATATTAGTCAGGCAACCCCGCCCAGGCTAAGGGACCTATACTTGCTATACAACAACTGGATATATTCCAAATGGATATGCATGGCTTTATAGCTGATTATTCACTATACTTCCAAAGCTGTAGAAACGTATTGTTCCTTCTTTGACAAGCTTGAATTCGTGAATTATGTATATAAATTTTAAGTGGAACAGTAATTTTGTATCTGTATCTTCTGTCTAATTTCATATCTGAGTAGATTAAAAAGTATTTTCATTGCTTATAATTACTCTTAAGGCATGTTACACTTGCGATTTTTGCAGCTCGATTGTTTATCGCGCACCTAAATTCGTCAACGTGTAAACAGCCCTGCGATTATTGCGGCAATCGAAAATTGCCGCGAAGTTGCAGCTAAATTTGGAGAATGTTCGAAACTCAGGCGATAGTTGCGCGACAATCGCGCTTCAAAAATCGCAAGTATAAACGGGTCTTTAGGATCACTTGATCCTTTAGGAGGGTGTCAATGGGGGTACCCAAAAGTCAGCTAACTACTAATTTTTGGGTCAAAGTCAAGTTAAAACTACTATATTTTTGAAAAGTCAGTTAACTACTAATGTTAGATAGGCATGATTAACTTTTGGTCTCTTGTATCGAATGTCATTTGCATTATAAATTGTAGTTATGCATTACAGGTTAGGAAGCCTTTTGTTGTTAAGTTCTCAGCGTTTTGAAGAGCATCGAGAGCATGTAAAAAGCATCAAATCCCGAAAAGTTTAATATTTCCTTCCCACTAGTACGCACGTGTATATGCGTAAAGGACTCTACGCGCCTGAATTAAATGTTAGTAAGATAGTCAGTTAAATAGCCATTGTCATTAGTAAGTTAACTACTATTCTTTTGCCAAAAAGTCAGTTAACTACTAATTTTTAAGCCAAAAGTCAGTTAACTATTAACCCCATTGACACCCTCCTGGAGCGTTCATGCATCACTGTTGTTATAACATTTATTTGTTGAACACTGTTACATACAAATTAGTATTAGGGAATAATATATGGAATAAWGACTTCTCCCAAAAGTTATAAACGCGTATTTAGAAATCGTCGGTTCGCGATTCAGATGGAACTTTGTTTTTCCAGTTCATTCGGGTCTGTGAAGGCGACACCTGTGCAATTTCACAGTYAGCGCTTACAAAATTATTGAATTGCATTAATTGTTTGTTTTAATTATTTGTTTTAATATCGTGTAAGATGGAAACTCATACTAAACTTAAAAGGAAAATCAAATCCTAAACGCAATTTTATATATAGTGAATGAGACAGCTTTACTTCCATTTGGAAATGAAACTTGGAAATAGGATTTGGAGTGGATATGATCATGTCTGATACGAAATTTCCTAAAAATGAAGAATTATATATTTTTAGCAGGACATAATAGATCGAAATTGACGGAACACCTGCTTGTATTTTTCGTTATTGAACGTAAAATGCCATTATTCGATGAAGTTTTTTATTTATTTTTTTTCCAGTATTTAATTTATCGAAACTTCCCGACTCAAAGCGGGCATGAGGATCACAGACATCACAAGTTAGCTATCAAAACTCGATTTCCGGACTTTTGTTTCGTCATATAAATTTAATTATTTTGAATTAATTTATCATATAATTTTCTATGAAATACCTCTATTTATCCATTTCATAAAGTTGATATTCTCACTAGTGAAAATATCAACACTTGAAGATAAAATCCGTATCTCCGCGCGCCCATGTAATAAAATTTGATATTGCACTTAGGAATTATATATACACTTCAAAAATTAATCAGTGTTAAGCGCCGTCTTTCAGTCGACGTCAATAACATTGTGAATGTTTTGAATGATGTTTGCGCTCCTTACAAAAGAACGCGGGCCGCGAATGTTACCAAAATGAAAATTTGCAATCGCCCTTTTTCCGGCTTAAAAATGTTTATATTTTGAYTTCTTGTTTTTATTTTCTTATATATTGCCTACAGCTCTGCAAACATTCATTCCGACTCAAATGTATTTGACATTGAACGTGATCTGATTCACGCAAAACTTTTATTATTTGAAAATATAAGCRCTCACTTCCCGAATCAAATATCAATTATTCAATAGATTGCCAGTTAATATGGCGCACAAATGAGGGCAAGAACCAAAAGCATCCGTAAAAATTTCTCATTTCGATCCTATATGAATATTAGATCAATCATAGWTAAATCYRTSCMRKKTTTTTTTCAGGAAATCAAGAATCACGCACAATAMGTACACTGTGTTTCCCAGGTTGCATTTGGGTCGGAGTTTTTAAATTGTTATTTAAAAAGTTTCTCAATGTTTCTCATGTTCTGTCGATGGAGATTTGGCCACAAGTGATAGGGATTGATCAGAGTTATCGTCATTTTTGGGGCTCGGGGACTCAGAGTTTTAGATTTTAAAATTAATGCCTTCACCCCTATGTAGTGAAACGTTTCCGCTATAGATATGATGAAATATTTGAAAAATGTCGAAAAACTGACAAAAAATTAAAACTTACGACTACCTGTGTAAACTCGAATAGTGTTATGGGATCCCTGTGCTTTTTAATTCAAAATGGCGGACGAACTTGCCGATTTTTTTGTAAAGCTAAATGTCTGCTTTTCGGAAAAGAATTCGAATGATTGTAAATGGAGTGACGCTAAATACCTATTTGAGGGCCTGAAAATGAAAGTTAAAGACATGGATAGCAGGTATGAAGTTATTTTATAACAGAATTTTTGAAATCAAAATTAGCGCACGTGGAGTTTTCTTGTTAAGTTCATATTTAACTATACTTAGCTTATTTACAGAACCAAGATTTCCTTATCTCAAATAACTCAAACAAAGAGCGTTTTGCAGTGCTGTGTACAACTTCTCGAAGAGAATCAAGTGAACGTTAATGGATTGCCAGGAGGTTGTCTACCAACTATCGCAGAGTCTATGCGTTTCCTAAGAAATACTTCTGCTGGTGTTGAAAATAATCAAGAAAATATCGTGTATGTGTGATATTTCCGATATTTTTGTGATTGAAATAGATTGAAATTGAAG